TTCTCCTTCAGGCAACTCCAATACACGTCCATCAGTCCACCGAACCTTTGCTCTAGCCAGAACCCTTACTTGAACAAGGAACCATTGTCTGCACTGCAACAGGAAGCGACACCCTCCGAATGTTATGGAAGGCCAGGAACCTAGCATCTCCAGCCATAACCTAATAAAGCTTGGAGGGGAGTCACACAGTTTCCCCCTGGAGTCTCTCCTCCTCAAGGAACTAATCATCTCCTCCCGAGTCTCTGCTTGCTCCTCTACAGCCTGATGGAACTCCACAGTCTCTAGGGAGTTCAGAACAAACTCCAGGAACCAGTCTACCGCTGTACCTTGATCACATTTTAAATACCTGCAGACCACATCTGGATCCGGGAACACATCTCTCAACAATACTCCAGCTAAGACAGAGTAGGTAATGAAACCAAACTTAATATCTCCGAGAGCATAACATTGAAGGCATTTAGGGATATCAGCCCACCAGAACCCCCAGCAATCATCAGCTGTTGAGACTGTCTTATTCAATAGGGTACCAATCACTTGTACACCCATAGCAGTCATATTCCTAGCCTGGAGTTTATAACCCGCCAGTATAGCTAATGATGTTAGATCCACGAATCCTCTCTTCCACCCCCTGTAGATCTCTTTGGATCGCCAGACCGGTAACCACGGGGAGATCACGGATCAAATCTAGAATTTCTGGTTGAATCACCATTTCCTTCATGATGTACTGATATCTCTCATCCACCTCCAAACCCAGAGAGATTAAGCAGGTCCAAGAAACTCCATTACCAAACATGATCTTGGCAGGAACCTGTCTCCAGTCATCTTTCAAATATCCATAAACAAATTCAGTCTCCACCTTCTTCCTTAACACCGCCTGGCCCCCAGGAATCTGGATCTTCCCCGCCAACGACCTATAATTATTCCTCCCTGACTTCAACCTATTAGGTGTAATAATTTCATAACCCAATGAAGTCTCATTCGAAGTATCTCCCCTTGCTATAGGCAGATTATCTATTGTATTTGATATCCTAGAGAATAATGTATTCCACTGAAGCGATGTCATCGGAACAGTAGTATCCACCCCTAGTTTCTCAATGGTTTCTCTGAGGACTCTAATTCTCCGCTCCACTCTTCCTCGTTCAGAATGAGCTTTGGCGCTGGAAACAACAATCTTAATCCCAAGATTATCCTGAACCTGAGTTTCTAAATCCCTAATTGAAAACTTTGCATACTGCAGAGCTTTGAGCTGTGTTCCATTGTCCACGTAAACAAAACCAGGAACTCCATATCTGCAAGAGTGTCGTTCCAGAGCTGCAACTACATCTTGAGTTTCAATTCCTTCCAGAGCCATAATATTTGTTGCCCCTGATAATAAGCAAACAACAACTAGACCATAAATCTTGATCACAGTTCTAGATCTCTTGAAGGGTTGTCCCTTGAACCCATAACATATATCTATCATACAGAGTGAAAGCACGGAGCAAGAACAGTCCTGGCCTCTGGATGATTTGCTAATCTTAACTCCAAGGTTTTCTTCTCCAGAAGACGACATTTGATGCAATCTTGTATGATCTTCTTGATCAATTTCCTTAAACCTCTCACTACTCTCATCTTCTTGTACACATCCTTGACTGTATTATCCAATGATGCATGAACACTCGTCCTTGTATGTAGGTACATTAAAAAGGAATATAGTACTGGTGAATCTGGCAGAACCACGGGAATCATCCCTACAATTTCATGTTTATCCATATATTTTACTTGGTCCAAATCCTGTGTTTTAAACTGGAATTCTGGAGATAATCTTCCTTCATCATAAATTATTCCATCTTTCTCCACGAAT